TTACAGCAGGGAGGTGAAGTCCGACAGAGCCGCGGTGGGGAAAGCGGTGGAGGACTGCATGAGGGCCATCATAGGAGTCCTGCTCAACCTGACACATGACAACGGTAAGTGCGCCAAAAACACTCCAAACACACTTTACTGCGGCTTATTGAAACGCTTAAACATTATTAATCTGACGTGTGAAACTCGGTCTGCAGAGTGGGGCAGCACGAAGACGGGAGAGCAGGAGGATTTGATAGTGACGGCTCTGAACTGTGTTCTCAAAGTCCCTCAGTATCTTCCTCAGGAGCAGAGGTTCGACATCAGAGTACTGGTGCGTATTAAACACGAGTGACGTGACCGTTTCCATCACAGGTTTGGGTTAAAATTAGACTTAAAGTGGTATTAATGATGACAGCAGTGCAAACAGAGTTAAAATGACCGACCCATGAGTGCCACTGTGTGTTTGCTGCTCAGGGTCTGGGTTTGCTCATCAACCTGGTGGAGTACAGTGCCAGGAACAGGTACTGCCTGATGGAGATGGAGATGGAAGGAGGCCAGGGTCCCTGCGACTCCACCGTCCTGCTCAACCCTCAGCACCAGGACATCGCCAGCACGGGCCCGCTGAGCGCCATCGCTGCTCTTGTACAGGTACAAACTCAGGAGTGGATGGAAAAACCCAAAGAAGAGTACGACTGAAGTGAAGTCGCCACTTTACAAACACAAATGTCCATATTTTAGGAACAAACTATCAAAATGTTTTGTTTTTGTAAATCCGTAAAACTTTCTGCAGCTCAGAGAGGAGCGAGTGTGGATCTGCTGCACTCTGTCACTTCAGGTGGTTTATTTCACCAGAAAGGTCATATTTCCCTCCCAGAAGAGGCTCTAAAATAATCCTGGATGCTTTTAAATTCTTTCTCACATGCTGACCTTCATTCAGATTCATCTCGGTGCTCAGTGTGGACTGGAAGGAGAAAATAAACCTTCGTTTGACCGACGTCTCGTCGTGGGTAGTTTTGGCGTCATCTGTCAGGTGTAGAGTTTAGTTTCTCTGCTTCCCTCTAAAACAGTTAATTGAATTTGTCTCCTGGTGTTCAGACGATTCACATTAAAAGAAAAGGCCGATCATTCGCTCACTGCGTCTTTGATTAATGGAGCACAAACACGGTCTGATTAATGTCTGCAGCAGCTGCTGCTGTGAGGAATATTTAAAGCTCACTTTTAGGTTTTAGCGTGAAAATGAATCCTCGCGTGATCCTCGGAGTTGAGTTTGTCTCGTCTGCGTTTTGTTCTCTTCTGTCGTCTTACTCGGTGTTTCCCATGAG